CTGGCAAAGCCGGCTGCTTACCGATCTCCTTTCTCAGAGTGGCAGGCAGCCCCAACGCTGGCGAGAAGCGTCTTGCAGGAAGACAGCACCCTTCGCCCTGCAGCACACACAAGCACAGGTCTCCCAGCACCCAGGCTCTCTCCGAGGGCCCCTACCTGCCTCACCTCCCTGCCCAAGCCACAGCCGAGCACCCGCCGGTCTCTAGCCACAGGGTGCTGTGCGGGGCAGGTGCTTGGCGCCGTGGGCACCATCATGGGGCAGCGGTGGGGTAAGAGTTACCTTGAAGGCCTGGGCCCAGGATGGAGAAGTTAGAGGTGTTGCAGAGTCGCTTGGAGCCCGTAAAGTGGCTGTTGAAGTGGATCTTCTGCTTCCCAAAGGAGGCCTGGAGAAATCAGAGGGCTGTGAACCACTTGGTTCACACGTGGTGAGGAGGTGGCAGGGCCAGAGGGACATACCCACCCTGGCTCCAGGCCCCGCACTCTGCAGGCTGAGACCCCGGGAGGGGAGAGACAAAGAGAAACCAGGTCTGCTCACCTCCAGCCTGGCCTCCAGGTAATCCCGAACATCCCGCATATGAGCCTCGTAGGCCTCCCAGTTCTTGCTCACTAACTCTGCAGCCTGAGGAGAGAAAACCCAGACAGGCTCCATCAGCGACCCCCCCCAACACCTCCCTCCGTGTGCGGCTCCCTGGCATGTGAGTCCAGCCGGGGAACAGCCTCTGCAATTGCCAGGTCCCCTGCGTCCCCCAACAGCCTCCCGCTGCCTTGCGCCACGTGAGCTGCGTGACTGCCCTCTGCCAGGGCTCCGAAGCACCTCCTTTGGCACCAGAAAGCCCCATCTCCTTTCCCGGTAGTTTGCCTGCCCTCCCGCACCCCGACTTTGTCATTTCTAATGACTGGGGTGCACAGGTGGCTGTCGCCGTGCTGGCTCCGCCAGGCGGAATCGCTCAGCCGTGACCATCACTGACTCACCTGGCCGAGGCCGGCAATCATTGGGGTGTTCTCGGTGCTGGAAGGGAAGAGGGAGCAGTGAGTTATTTCTCCAGACCAGAAACCTCAGCGCACAGACATCCCCAGCGTGGGACCCCTCACCGCTGGCAGGGGGTCCTGGACACCTCTCTGAGGTGGTTGGGAAGGGGGCAGTCCCACCCTGCGGTTGCTCCTGCGGCAAAGCCTGCGCATCAGGCTCCCGCAGTTCCCACGCACGGATCCATCTCCCTGCGCTGGGCTGCCCGCCCCAGGGCTGGCGGGTGACACAGCTGCCAGCTTAGCTCAGACTAAGTAGCCACGTGTGGTTTGGCCACCAGCCCGAGGCCCAGCTCTCTGAGCCACCACCCAGCCACCTTACCCCGGCCGGAAGCTCCTCTCCTGTCCCCCTCCGAAGAGCATGGGGTGCAGCGGGGTGGTGGTGTCGGGGCCGCGCACATACAGCGCGCCGATCCGCGGGCCGTAGAACTGCGGGGAGAAAGAGACATGGTGACCCTGGGGACACTGCCAGGTGTCCCTTTCCTGTACTCCTGCCCAAATTTGAGTGCCCTCCAGTGCTGACCCTGCCCGTCTCACAGACACAGGCTGCTGCAGAGCTGTCCCCTGCCCTTGGCCTCCTCCTGCTCCCCCTTCCAGACAGGTCCCCTGACTTGCAGGAGCCTTGTCACCCAGCTGAAGACTGTCTTCAGAGCACCATCCAGCAGGAAAACTTTGGCCACTGATGAGATATCAAGCTGTAGGGGGCACCCAAAGTCTCCCTGGCACCCCAACAGAGATGTCTAAGAGGGTGAACAGTGGCTGGGCCAGGTGAATAGGGCCATACCTTGTGTCCCACGATGGTGAGGTAGTCCACCCCCAGCTCCTGCACGTCCACGCGCCCCTTGCCAATCATCTGCGCAGCGTCCGTGTGCACCAGGATCCTGGGCAGCCCCTCCGCCGCTCTCCGCTGATTGAGGGCACGGATGTGCTGGCCCAGCTCCGTGACAGGCTGGCGGGAGGGAAGAGGGTCTGCGTCCCAGGGACCGTCTGCTCCCCCTATCAAGCACTTTTTGCGAGGATGTCCCCACCCCATCCCACTTGCTGCCCACAGACTCACCATGATGACCCCAGTCTCGTTATTGGCCAGCATGATGGAAACCAGGCAGGTGGTTGGCCGGATGGCGGCAAGGACGTCGTCCACCTCAGCCCGCCCGCTTCGTGGGGACACAGGCACAAAGGTGGTTTCTGCAAGCCAAGAAACAAGTTTGTTGG